GCAGCTTGGGATGCGATTTTGTCACCTTTCTTGAAGTCGTCGGTTCGATATACGTTGGCTGAACTTGCACCTCTCCTGTCGGGCCTTGAGGATCCTGACAATCCGATTCGCATCTTACATCAATCATTCCGCGACTTTATTCTAGAACGGATCGATCCCCAATTCATCAGCCTTCGTTGCAGTCCAGTAGATGTAGGATGCGAGAATGCGAGAATTGCCCTCCGATGTACTGAGATTCTGAATCAGGATCTCTCCTCTTTGAAGGGCCTTGGACTGATTAAGGACTTGTACGAAAAAGCTGAACTGCCGCGCATTCCCCCAGAGGAGTTATCCGAGCACTTGCATTACGCATGTCGCTACATTGTTTATCACCTCAGTGGAGTCCAGGAACGATTGCAGGAGCTCGAAAAATCAGTTGGCATATTTCTGAGTCAGCAAGCCACTCACTGGGTGGAAGTCTGTTTGAGGATGGAAGGCTACATCAGTATTTCGATACTCCCTGAGTGGCCTAAGGTGTGGACTATTAATTGTGTTAATGAAATTAGCTCATGTTTCCCTAGTTGGTGGTTGACCAGAGGTCAAAAGCTGCTGTCTGCATGCTGGCCAATCTGCTAATCCGGCTCCCGTTGAACCTGGGATTTTTTTTAAGATTCAGGGAGGCATATGAGGCAGCAAAGGATTCAGTTGTTCTTTGCCGTTGCCTTGTTTCCATGGACCCAGAGTCCTACACCCCAGAATTGGCCAGGTCACTTGGCACTTTATATTTAGCTCTTTCGGGTCTCGGACAGCGCTCGGAAGCGCTTCCATTGATCGAGGAGAGCGTCAAACTCTACCGCCAGCTCGTTGCTGTTCACCCAGGATCATACACCCCAGATTTGGCTTGGTCACTCAACAATCTATATTCCTCTCTTTCGAAACTCGGGCGGCACTTTGAGGCACTCCCATTCATCGAGGAAAGCGTCAAACTTCGGCGCGACCTAGTTTCTGTTCACTCAGCATCATGCAACGCAGATTTGGCTTGGTCACTCAACAGTCTATATAACGCTCTTTCCAATCTCGGACGACACTCAGAGGCGCACCCATTCATTGAGGAAAGCGTCAAACTCCAGCGTGAGCTTGTTGCCGTTCACCCAGGATCATACACCCCAGATTTGGCTTTGTCACTCAACAATCTATATCACGCTCTTTCGAAACTCGGACGGCACTCGGAGGCGCTCCCATTCATCAAGGAAAGCGTCAAACTCCGGCGCGAGCTTGTTGCCATTCACCCACGACCATACAACGCAGATTTGGCTTGGTCACTCAACAGTCTATATGGTGCTCTGTCGAATCTCGGACAGCACTCAGAGGCACTCCCATTCATCAAGGAAAGTGTCAAACTCCGGCGCGAGCTGGTTGCCATTCACCCAGGATCATACACCCCAGATTTGGCTATTTCACTCAACAATCTATATCACGCTCTTTCGAATCTCGGACAGCACTTAGAGGCGCTCCCATTCATTGAGGAAAGCGTCAAACTCCAGCGCAACCTAGTTGCCGTTCACCTAGGATCATACGACGCAGATTTGGCCTGGTCACTCAACGGTCTCTATGGTGCTCTTTCGAATCTCGGACGGCACTCGGAGGCACTCTCATTCATTGAAGAAAGCGTCAAACTCCGGCGCGAGCTTGTCGCCGTTCACCCAGGATCATACGCCCCTGATTTGGCTTTGTCACTCAACAATCTATATCACGCTCTTTCGAATCTCGGACGCCACTCGGAAGCGCTCCCATTCATTGAGGAAAGCGTCAAACTCCGGCGCGACCTAGTTGCCGTTCACCCAGAATCATACAACGCAGATTTGGCTTGGTCACTCAACAGTCTATATGGCGCTCTCTCGAATCTCGGACGGCACTCGGAGGCGCTCCCATTCATTGAGGAAAGCGTCAAACTCCGGCGTGAGCTTGTTGCCGTTCACCCTGGATCATACAACGCAGATTTTATTGAAATTATGAACTAGTCGCGTATAAGCGCTCAGTTCCAAGTACGTGAACTTATAAGATTGATAATCACCTAGTCGCGTATAAGCGCTAGGGTAGTATGTACAATCATCAGAAAGACATACAAGACGCAAAGAGATAGATATCTCACCTCAGTTCCAAGTACGTGAACTGAGGAGAGAAGAGGGAAAAATTGCGCGAGGCGGCTTTTAAGCCATCCTCGACTGCGTCCATCAACATGGTCGCCATAAACGGTAGCATCGGGCAATCCTACAAGGAAATGTCCGTGCGCAAGAAATATAGTCCGTTGTATTCAATGGTCGGTCCACAGCGTACCAAGAAACAAGAATTTCAACAGATTTGGCTTGGTCACTCAACAGTCTATATAACGCTCTTTCAAATCTCGGATGGTACTCGGAAGCGCTCCCATTCATTGAGGAAAGCGTCAAACTCTGGCGCGAGCTTGTTGCCGTTCACCGAGGATCATACACCCCAGATTTAGCTGTGTCACTCAACGGTCTATATCACGCTCTTTCCAATCTTGGACGGCACTCGGAAGCGCTCTCATTCATCGAGGAGAGCGTTACACTCTACCATGAGCTGGTTGCCATCAACCCAGGATTACACACCTCCAATTTGGATAGGTCACTCAACACACTACGCACCGCTCTTTCTGACCTCGGACGTGATTCCGAGGCACTCATTTGAACAATTCAGGTCCCCTGAGATCTTGGACCTTCCCATTTCATTGTATTTCCTCGTTTGCTGCTTGTAGTGCACACAGTGCTTGCTCAGTTTGGAAGTACTGGGGGGTTGATTTTTGGTTTGGAACCATTGATGAAACGTTTACGGGTTTTCTGCTCACAACTGATCATGATCGTAGCTGAATAATGTCAAGAACACTCATTTGTTTGTACCTGCCACTATGTTTCCGCGCACCACTGTACGCAATGAAGCCGAGACTTGGGATATGGGGTACGCCAGTGTATACGTATGTAGCACGGAAATAAGTTTTAATCGGATAGGTAATATCCAGATACCACAGGTAGTTCATAGAACGTAGGTCGAGCTCCCATCTCGCCTCGGCGTAGACTCAGCAATTAGACTCGGCACACGTACACGTCCTCGATACGACTCCACAATCTGCGCTCTTCGAGGTGCTCGCGCTAACTTACGGCCTTTTCCTGGATTGGAGATCTCAAAGTAGGCCGGAGTCCTTCTGCTGGCGGTGTTTCTCATGCGCCCCTATCCCTCAACTGCAGGAACCATCAAGCATGCAAACCAATGCCACGGCAGAGAATGACGGGGATATAAATGATGTTGGCATACATAAATGAGTACGTGACGATAACGGACACAGTATATAAAAAACTCTGACTCACCTCAGTCCGCTAGCTGTGCGTGAACTGAGGAGAAGTCGAGTGGTCCAAAAATTCATGTTTTATAGTCAGGCGCTATGAATGCGCAACTGACGTTGGCAGCGAGTATTCCAAGAAAGGAAACAGGAGTGGATCATGAGTGCCGCAAGACTCAACAAAAACGTGAGTTGGCCTTGAGCTCAGCGTACGCAACAATCCTAGGATCGATATTCTCCTGGCTTGCCTCAAGGAACTGAATTAGGCGCTCAGTCAGTGCCTCTCCAGCACATTGGCAGCTAAATCAGTGAGTGATGTGCATCCATGTGCGCGGCTGCTGAACCGCCTTGGAGCCAAATGGCGAAACTTAGCGGTGACGTGAAACATATTGTCGACGTCGTCAAATTAACATCTATATATCGTCTGGTTCAAATATCGTGAGAGCTGCTTGACTTCGGTTTTCCACATTCTGGCTAACACCGCTTTCCCATCATCGAGTGCTGGACCGAAGACGCAGCCGCCGGATCAGCCATCGCCCCTACCTGGGCGCCGGCGGTACAAGTCATCCATTATCTTCGCGATATGGGCAACTCAAGGATTCTCCTCTGAGCCTTCAGAAGTTTCGTCAAGGTATTGATGCTTGTGCATATTCCAGCGCACTAATTTCGGTCGTTGTACTGGTTTGAAATGTAGTTGTACTCGTAGTTTATGTGTTAATATTTGTCCATGTCATCGTTATCCAAGTGTGCCATTATGATTATCCAGACTATGTACGCCCTGGCACAAATTATTTATTATATTGCTCGTCGCGCTCTTGTTGCTAATAGGGAAACAATGCTCGGTGAGGTGAAAAATTCTCCATGACCATGTCGTCCAAGCAGCTTGGTCGACTCTTCGTACTCGATAAATAGGTATGCACCCATTGGCATGTCGTGAGCCGATACGCGCGAAGGGTTTCCATATATCATAACCGAGCCTTGTAATGATAGGAGGAAGATATTAAGAGCATTCCTCGATGATGAGACTATCCTGCTTATATGGAAGGGTCGGAAACGCATCTTCCACCTGGGCATGTGGTACTGCTTTAATCGTGTTTTTACATCCCACTATGTATCAAGCAGTGCGGCGTCCGCACCCGGAGCTATACGAAGTCATAGAGGCTGGAGTCCTGCCTAACCCGGAGCGTAAGATGAGTAAGATGCGTCTGCGTTCCTAAATCAGTGTGCACTGGACCAATATGCCAAGGCTCTCAAGTTTAACGAGGGCGGAGTATTGGAATGACTCCGCAAACCATGAGGATTAGTGTGATGACGAAACTGGCTGACACAAGATGTACAGAAGAAGGGAGCAACTTATGTCGGATTGGTTTCGGGCTTTCAGCGACAACTTGAAGGTTGGGAAACCGTCCACTACAAGAGCCGCCGAAAATAGGCAGATGGAAGCAATTCCTGGAGACAGTAATGCTATTGCATCTGCGCCAATTGGGTGACTAGGCACATGGGTCGGGGGCACCCCGGGGTCGGGAAAGTGTGTGGGTGATTAATCCGTGCACCCGCTCGTCCTCTAGAGGCATCCCATATCATTCTGTGTACGGTTCCCATCATAGCGTCTATATATTATTACGAAGTCATACTTGTGCCTAATCATGGCGAATTCGGTTGCAAATGATCTACTGCACTGCCACATCTAAAAAATGGACTCCGAGTCCACCCCTCGAATAGACACACTTATCCTTGATACGGGGCCGCTAGTTCATGAGGTAGCCCTTAGGGGAATAGCTAAGGCATATGTGACGGTGCCTCAGGTTATCACTGAGGTGCAATCGTCACATGCCAGAGCGTACCTCGAAAGACTTCCGCTGCTAGGCATCGACATCAAAGTTGTCAACCCAAATCTCTTATCATTCCATAAAGGCGCGGAAATATGGTGTTTTTTGGGCGTTCCCTACTGATGTTTCTTTTATAGTTTCCGAGGCGGCGAAGAAATCTGGGGACTACGGTGTCCTCTCCAGCACGGATTTGCTTGTGTTGGCCTTGGCACATACCGTTCACACCAAAGCATCATCTGAGGCTGACTCCACTACTTCTACATCCAACTTTCCAGAGAAATCTGTGAGTCTAATCTAGGCCTTGCGGATTATGTCTTGAATGATTCTGTCTTTAGGGATCAAACCCCGAACGGCCAGAACCCACCCAAAAGGAGCCTGGATCCTACCTGGAAAGTAATGCGACAAATAATCCCGACCCCTCGTCCTTGGAGCCTTCGGGCATTGATACTAACGATGCGGACGATGGCGACGCAAACCCAAACGAGGACAACCATGGAGATGAGGATTCTCTAGATTTGTCTGGTCTTCAGATATCAGAACTCCCAGAAGAGCCCTCTGGATCTCGCCCTCCGGCTCTTGAAGTGGCCCCCCTTTTCGAGGACCCTCCCTCTGATGACGACGGGGAGGGCGAATGGATCACACCTGATAACGTCTCAACAATAAAGGCTCGTGATAAATTTCCGGGGGAGTTTAACGCCGATCTCGGGGACGAGCAGGCTCGCCTGAAAGCGGCATGCATGACTGCTGATTATGCCATGCAAAATGTCCTAATGCACCTCCATCTTCCTCTCATTAGCTTTGAAGGGAGGCAACTCATGGAAGCGTCAACAAAGATGCTGAGATGTCATGCTTGCTGCACGTAAGTGGAATCTATATTCCTTATCGATAAGCCCCTGATGTTCTGCACAGCCTAGTTAAGGATCCGACAAAAAAGTTCTGTCCAAAGTGCGGGAACGCAACTCTCACTCGAGTATCCGTTTCTACGGCAGCACCACCTCCTGGGTCTCCCTCAGGCACTGCTCCCACTGTCCACGTCCATCTGAAGAAAAATTACAAACATAACCTTCGAGGAACGATATATTCGATACCACTGCCGAAACCAGGTAGTAGGGGTACGAATAATATAATTCTGCGCGAGGATCAGATAGAATTCCAGCGCGCGGTGAAAAGGGTGCGAGCCCAAACCAAGAAAATGGAGCAGAAAATGAAGAGTGCGGTTGCTGCAGCGCAGGGCAAGGACGGCTGGGCAGATCCTGATTGGATGCCAAACATGCTACTCGGGGTATCGACCAAACCGATCCCAACACTGCCTGAGATTGGGTATGGTAGACGAAATCCACATGGAGCTAGGAGGAAGAAATAGGATCCCGCAGTCCTTCGTTCAAGCTTCCCCATTACGTACAGATCTATGTATCCTGCACCATTTTCGGGCCTTCATTCCATTCATTTCACATATGCTTTCGAGTCTAACAACATCTTTTGAGTCGACGAGTCGTCGCTCTCGTCTTTGTTTTTGAGTTTGGTAACGGTACCGGATCCAATTGCATGCTACAATTTGCAACCCCCCGCCACAGCTCTCGCCACCTTCATCGCCATCCTCGCGCGTCAATTTACCGTTGCGCTGACCCGCGTCCGATCCGTAGACGTGATGGCAGCTGCTGTCGCGTCCCTGCCGTCTTTTTTTGATGCATCATCTAGAGAGATTCCTAGCGATAAGCTGGCCCAAATGCCCTCAGAGCCTTCAAACCCTGGACCCTCCATTGGAAATGGCATCTCAAACCTATCCGGAAGCCTTCAGAAAAACCTTATAAGTGCTTTGATTGCAACCCCTATTGCTTTTAGGGAAGCAGAGGATGCGAATCCAACCATCCAACCCACGGCTAACATGATCCTACTTGACGATACCAAGCTCTCTGAGAGTTCTTCAGAGCCCCATTTTAAGGTAGATAAGTCTATATGTGCAGGATTCCTACCAAGCTAGAAAAATTCGCAGGATGCTTTGACGCCTGGCGCTGGGCGGCTTAATGCTCAAAATCCTCTGGCCCCTGTTATACATTCTGTTTCGGGTGGGTCGAACGCACCCGAAGCACCAAAATCCCTTTATCCCATCGAAATCCCCAATGAATGGGTCCATAGAACGAGGAACGTTGGCGTTGGCCTCAATAATGTCGGCAATACTTGCTTCTTGAATTCTGTGTTACAATGCCTTCTGCATACGCCTGCTCTGATATGGGTAGCTAGCAAGCACACCTCTAGTCAACGTTGTCCAGCAAGTGTGGGCACATTTTGCATGACATGTAAATTCAAAGATCTGGCTACGAAGACGATAACCGCCAATGTGGGACCATCTTCATACACACCGATTCCTGTACTGCAGAACCTAAAAAGCATCGCCAAAAGTCTTCGGCATGGGAGACAAGAAGATGCCCACGAATTTCTACGCTACACCGTAGATGCGTTCCAGAGAAGTGCTCTTCATGGAACGGACCCGTATGTTCGCCCGATTATGTGCGTCTATCTTTGTTGCTGAAGTGACTTCTTATTGCAGAAAGTTACCGCATGGTATAAAGGAAACTACCTGGGTACATCAGATCTTCGGAGGTCGCTTGCGGTCACGAGTGACCTGTCGTTCATGCAGCCACCCTTCAGATACTTTTGACTCTCTGCTCGACCTCAGTATTGACGTCGCAAGGCGGCCCTCTATTCGTGCTGCCCTGGACTCATTCGTTGCCATTGATGTATTGGCTGGCGCGGACAAGTATAAGTGCGAGAAATGCAAGAAACCTGTCGAGGCGGAGAAGCAGTTCACCATCCATGATGCCCCCCAAATCCTTACAATACACCTAAAGCGGTTTACTCCACTAGGAAGAAAAGTGTCACATTCTGTTAGATACGAAGAGCACCTCTCACTTCACAAGTATATGAGTGCGGGTCAGGTACGTTTCTGAATTGGTTCTTCGTCATGACGATAACTCAAGTTCATGCCAGTTTGGACCCCGATATTCCTTGTATGCCGTCATCTCTCACTTTGGTTCTGGGCCCAATTCGGGTCATTATCTCGCTCATGTGAAGGGTAAGAATGGCCGTTGGTACGAAATGAACGATGATTCTGTGGAACAGTGCTCCCGCATTCCCCTCGATCTCAAAAATGCCTATGTATTATTCTACGCGCAGGACGCCGGTCAGGCTTTGGAGGCCGCCATATCTGCCTCAGGCCTTGCCGCTCCAGCGGAGATCCTTCCCAGAAAATCCGTGCAGAATCAAGGGCAGAAAAAGAGAAAAGCAATGTTTGACGATGATGATGAAGAGGACCTTGGGACGAAGGTCTCTCCCCCAGATACCGAAGCGAAGATAAAGGTATCACCCACATTCGAGAAGCCTGATCTTCTAGGCCATAAAGCTCCAGAAACCCCCTCCAAGGATCCAGCAGCTATAAAGTTAGCTGCTAGGATTACTGCAGCGACAAAGGGAAAATCCATCACGTTATCGTCATCGGCGCTTCTGGCTCTATCTGAGTACACGAACGATTCTTCGGAGGCAGAAACCAACGACGGTGGTTCGGAGAGAGATACTCAAGTACCAGGATTATCTTTGTCTTCCTCATCCACACTTGTCAACACCACTTCCACTCCATCCATTGAGAAGGATGATGAAACGGTACCTCGAAGATCTGATCCTGTCTTAGAATCACCACCATCTGACAGTATCGACCCTTCTCCATCCAAATCTTTTGATACCCCAATTCCGCAGTCTTCGTTCTACGGCGCTCCGCAGAAGAAACGGCGTCATTCTCATCTCGATGAAAACTCAGCCCGTTTCCCTCCGCGGTTCAACCGATCCAAGAAGCACGACCATAAACGAAGGCACAAGCACACTCCGTTTTCTCGAGACGCATTGCGAAGCAATCTCCATGAGGATCGTTCAAATCAGGACCAGCGAACGAGCATGGCAAGCCGCATGAAACCCAAAATGAACAAGAGAATCTTAACATAATCCTAGTCTCTTTTTTTCGTTTGTGTGTTTGGACGACTTCGGTAGACATTATATTACTCATTAAAGATCGTACATGGACGACCATCGCATGTTTCAGCTGTAAATTATACCGCTTTTCACCCTTGCCCATGCATCACAACTTTGCTTTGACTATTTCAGCCTGAGGGTTCGATTTCTCATACCATATGACCGTCACTGTGACATCGTCTCTGAAGTTCCTCGCCATCCCTAGAGGAATGGAGATTTTCTTGTCCAAGCGATCTCGGTCTGCACCACCAAACGCATTGCGTATGACATGCGTTCCAACATGGTCATCAACAAATGCCCATTCTCCAGTTTCCCGCTGCCGTTGCTTTTTCTCGGAGACGGATGCAGATTTACCTTCCACCCCCATAGCACCTTCCGTATCACGAACCGTCTCGATGAGAGCGGTTTTTGGCACGGACCCCTTCAGGCCGGCTAGGTGACCGCCGACAAGAGAAACGACCTCGGAGGACGAAAGTTCGTCCCACAGTCCATCTGTTGCAAGCACGACGAACCTTAAAGTGGATTTCGGCTTTGCTGGAGTCGTCGATACCGAGGTAGAAGAGGGATCTGATATGAAATCCAACTTGCGGTGGGTGATGACAGGCTCGGATGTAACGTACGGAGGAGTCTTCAAGTCTTTGGGGGCTTTTCGAAATGGTGTGTTAGGTGGAAGCAAGTTCTGCACAAGACTACATTCGAATGAGGCAAAGTGAAAAGAGTGGACCGATGTGGGGTTCATCTCACCTCTCCTGGATGTCTCTGGCCCATTTGTAGCGAGCATCTCCAAAGGCTCGAGTTGGCTCAAGCCCACCTAATACACGGCCTCTTTGGATAACAGTGTCAGCCTCGTCCGCAGGATGTTCGGATTGCATTCTAATCAACGATTAACCAAAGGAGACATCAACTATCCCCGAAATTGTTTACCGTTTCAGCTCATTGGGATTCCGGCCAGTTTGATCCTCCGTTAGAACCTCCGCTCTCCAGTAACCGGGACTGCCGTCAGCTGGCTCATCCCAATATCCAGCAACAGCCCGACTATCACCTGTGCACGCAACATACATGTCTCTTCTTGCTGTATCGAGCAAAGCGAAAAGAGCACATGAGCCTGACATCGCTGGAAGCATTAAGGGCGTAGACATTAGATCTTCATGAGGTGCTACGTCAGATTTCTGGGACTGTAGACGTTTTAAGTGTCCAATTGGGGCATTGATAATCTGGTGATCGAGCTTGACAAAGGCATTCTTTATGGCCTCCGAAACATTGGATGGGTCCACGCCGTGGATCTGATTCTTCTGCGGGGAAGACAAGTATGGGACGAAGCGTTTGAAGTAGTTCAAAACCAATTTTGAGTGTGGCGAAGCGGCTGGCAGTGGGGAACTAATAAGGGATGCGAGTTCAAACGCCACGGACGGTATGAGCGTGCGGGAGAGAAGTCTGGAAGTATGAGGGCCTGCATGGCCATCCATTACCTATTCGCATGTGCAAAAATTAGCTCGGGACAAGGCTGGTATGCAATTACACGTACCGCAAAAAAGAGCAAATCACCCGGTGGCGCCTTTGAGCTTATGTCCTGTTCCACCAATGCTTGAGAGTGCGCATCTTCAATACCATCATTAGCGGCCAGAAAGGCGGTCTGGTACTTCCAGGCTGATACAACGCGAAGATGAGCATGCAACTCTCAATGCCTGCTCCATTGATACATACTCAATCCGCCATACCGACGAACAGTTTGTCCGTACGCGTGTTCCCGCAGCTTTGCGTCCACCTCAGCCTCGCTCAAGCGAGGCAGAGAGTGCATTTTAAGCACAGGTTTCCCATCTGCACCACGCTCCTTGAGATGGACTTCAAACGTCTTAGACCCTGACATGAAGTCTCTGATCGACGGATAATTATACCAGGCAATGCCGGCAGTAGCGACAGGAAGTGTCAGGAAAGCCGCGCGCCTCAGTGGTGAGCCAAGTCGCTGCATATGATCAGAATCAGGGGATGAGAAAAACCCTGTGCGACACCGGCGTGTTTTGCACACGATACTAGCACCCGTGTTTGCTAGGAGGCGCGCGCTTAACAAAGTAAGACTCAACCTTTCCTTGGTGAGTCGAGGCCGCCCCCCAACTGAATTAAAATAGGCAATCCGACGCCAACAACAGGATCACAGGGATGGAATAGTAAAAATACAATTACATAGCTCTAACTCCAATTCTCAATTCACAATAGTCCAATAAGAGCACTGCACAGTTTCTCGGCAATGTCATTGGGATCTTGGCGAGCCATCTCAATCACGCTGAGGAGCTTCTTAATGCCCACGTTGAGACGCCCTTCATGGCCAAAACCTGCCTGCTCGAGCAACGCCAGCGCTCTGCCTCTTTCAGTCCGTGAGGGGAAGAGCTTCACTTCGTCCAAGACACGATCTAATGCACGAAGACTAGTGATCGGTGGGACTCGTATCTCCGCATCAAATATGTCATTCATCTGCATCTCGGTCAGCATGGGCCGCAGAGATGTGGTAGTGAGCACCAGCAACCGCCTCCCCTACAGAGATGTTAGCTAGAGGATTGCAACCACATCGGCTGGGCGCACCTTAGGAGGACGCTTCCCCATCAATACCATCAGGGCTTGGAGTACACCATTAGAGAATCGAGGACCGATAGGTACCCAATCTGCGATGAGAATTTAAGGTTCCAATGAAGATTCAAAACTTTCAATGCCTCTCACCTAACAATCGCTCCAAGTTGTCAACAACAATGACACTAATTGGACTCTTGTAGCTATCCGTGAATACTTTGCTTATTGCGGCAATCTTCTGTCCCTCTGAAAACCCGACCATGGATTCAGGCGAGATTAATTTAATGAACGGGAACTGAGAGCTCTGAGCAATAGTTGCGGCAAGCGCGGTTTTTCCGGAGCCAGGTGGTCCTACAATCACATCGGATATCGATCGGGACTCAGCGGTTATTTAGTGACGTACCATGCAACAGAACGGAGACCAAGGGTGTTCGAGTACTCGTTTTGACTTGCTCCACAAAGAGCTGCCCATCCCGCAACAATGTCTAAGATGATTTCGAATCAGGAGTCCTAAGCAAATGAGGATCGCCGTAACTAACATCGACATTGGTCTCGTAGTGGATAATCCCGTTCTGGACTACAGCCTCCAATTCTTCCTCTGACACACCGAAGAGCGGGCGGACCTCTTCCAGAGCATGCATAAAATCGTCTCGGTTAACGCGAAGGTTCTCGACATCATCAGAAATGCCAGCCATTGTCCCCACCTAAAGAAAACATAAGCATTTACTTCGGATCGCAGGGTACACCTACTTTGACGTGGCGATTAAAAGCGAAGCTGGCGGCACTCTTAACCAAACCATTAATTTCTGCGCCAGAAAAATTCTTTGTTACAGAAGCAAGTTCTGGAAGACCGACGTCGCGGTCCATTATCCCATTATTGCGCATCTTGGCGGTATGAATGGTCAGGATTTGAAGACGACCGTGCTCATCGGGAAGAGAGATTTCCATGTGAACTTCGAGTCGGCCAGGTCGAAGGAGTGCCTCATCAATCATATCCTTCCGGTTTGTCATACCAATGACAAGAATATTGTTGAGTTGATCCACACCATCCATCTAACCAAGTAACTCAGACAAAGTTCTTCACTCTCAAAACAGTCACTCGCCTTGGACAAAAGTTGGTTGACGACAGTGTCCCCAACTCCAGTGCCACCGGCACTCCCAGTGCCCCGTTGCCTACATATGGCGTCCAATTCATCGAAGATAATGATGTGAAGCCCACTCTCATCGCCTTTTGACTTATACTATGAAAACCCATCCGTTAGTGGGCGATAAATGAGACAAAGTATTAACAAACCTCCGCCTCAGCATCAGCAAAAAGCTTTCGAATGTTCTCCTCGCTCTTCCCAACAAATTTGTCCAAAATCTCGGGCCCATTAACGATCTTCGGCTCTCTGGCATTCAGCATCTTTCCAATTTGGCGCGCCATGAGTGTCTTCCCTGTCCCAGGAGGGCCGTACAACAGCAGCCCTTTGACATGTTGAATGCCCAGTTTCTCGACCAACCCTGGCGGAAACACTCGACTGGCAAAGGCTCGGCGGAATATTGAGGCGAACTCTGCGTCCAAACCACCAATACCCATATCTTCGAACTTGAAGTTTGGCGCCAGAATTGCATTTGGAGGTGCCCTACGGATCTGTTAGAGGCGGTTCCGAGACCATTACTGCAAAGCCCAACTTTTTGGAGCTTCCCTTGATCTTAATGGAGCTATCGGAGGCTTTGATGAACGTAATGTCCGTTTTTTCCATCAGAAGACCCATGGGCCCAAGTGGGTTTCCACCTTTCCCAAGGTCGAAGAGAGATATCCCTGTCACAGTAGCTCGTAGAGTTTGACCATGATACTCAAAAACCACAATTTGACCGGGCGAGAAAACTTGGTTGCTATAGTTCTTGATGAGGACTCGACTCATATCTTCAGAGTCGAACACTTCAATTGCTTGGGCATTCTTCTTGTTAAAGCCAACCTGCAGTGGCGTCAGAGCCTCCGCGTGACTAAGAGAATGAGCATTATACTGGCCTCCAGGTCGAGCGAGCCAAGCCACTCATCCCCTAGATCTATTGTTTCGATTTGAATGACGTCTCCAGGGCTAAGCCCGATCCATTGTCGGTGAAACATGCTGACGCCAAGGCTTCCCGGCTCTATGTGGCCAGCAACCATCGATGGAGTTGTGTCGTGTCTAAGGGGTTTTCGTTCATTGTGAGCACACAGCACGGTAAGGGGGACATCAATGAGGTATCTATTGCTGACCTAACTGTGACGGGGAAGCGTCTATTAACTCGAACTTGTTGTCCATGTTGCAGAAAATCGGTGGGGCTCGCGATCAAACAGTTTGTGAGCCCTAACTCGTTATTAGGGGCATTGGCAACGGTCATACTAAATTGCCGTATATCAACTGTCAACATGTTTACTCGAAGTGCCTGTAAAGGAATATTGCTGACTTAGCGGATTGCGGTCGAGATCGGTGCGTTATCTTTTCAAGGAAGGTTTCATTTCCACGCTGAGGGGGAGGAGGGGGAGGAGGACGCGGTCCCCTTGATGACTGATTGGAGTCTGAATTAATTCTCGTGTACGGACTTGGACTGCTAGAATTGGAGGATCGAAAGAAGCTGGCCATCTAGTTAAGCTGAAGAATGATGTAAAGAAAGGTCTGAGAGCTAAGAATAATTAGCTTGTCCCAGAAAACTGTTAATATTCAACGTGTCAAATGTTGAGATTGTGGTGCAAATTGGTTGCGTGTCGACTTCGGAGTACTTACATCGCCACACAATTGGACGTCAGCATTGATGACACACCACATTTCCAGAATGATCAACGACAATGGATCAAAAAATACATCGCCCAAATCCTCACTCGAGAAAATTATTCTAGGTAGATGCAGGAGCCTCCTTAGCAAGGTCGCCATGAACTGGAGGTCCAGTGGGAGCAGGTTGTGCCGACTTCCGTGCACTTTCCACCACCTCCAACACGCCAATAAGATTCGTCCTCCAGGAGCTCAATTTCTCTTCCAATAATTTCCAATCAGGCTTTTGGAACGCGCGTGTTATGGACCGTGTAACACAGAAAGTTTGGGTCAACTGGGAGAGCTTTCCTGCTAAGAGGTTTGATCTGACCGCTATAGATATCGAACAACAGTCAGCATCATGACCACGGATAGTTCAACCTCATCGTTACCATTGATAACCCAGAGCTCAACATCAGATTCAGGTACTTGTATTGTGGACGCAATCTTCGAATAACTAATTTCCTTCCCGACATAATCCGAAGCCAGTGTAGCCAATGTCAAGAAGCGGATTTTTTTTTCCACGGCGGCCGCATCCAGCCCTGATAGCGCGCATGTTCATATCGCACATCAGAAGAGGAAAAAGCAGACGGATTCACCTGATTTACTCAGAACCTGTTGATTGCCACTCTCCCATTGTTTGTAGTCCTTCAGATCACCTTGCGCGATAATCCGAAGTAAAGCGAACAGTGGGCGATCCTTCACTATTTCGAGCCGGCTCGTTTTTAGCAGCTTGTTTAGATCGAATACAGTCGGTAACCGAAGAGCTGCGATTATCACATCAATAGCTGCTTGCTCTGCCTCCGAGGATCCATCTGGAAGCACTTCCAGTCGAGAAAACAGATAGGAGTACGAGGTGGTACTATAAGAACAGTGCCAAAATGAGCAACGTCGTAAACAGCCCGGACGCACTCACGCATCGCCCGCTTGTTCAAAAGCGATCGCTAACGACTTCAGGAATGTGCCTTTCTCATCAGGAGAAACATCCCACTCTGAAAGCCAGCGGTCAACCGTAGATTTATTGACTTGTATTGTGTCTAACTCTTTGTTCGACGTCGCCAAAGAAAACAAGGCATTGTACACCTGCAATCGGATTGGAGATTGTCGTGGAAGAGCATTGAAAATATTAGAGAGACTGTAAATGAGTGAGTCAGGGCTATTACGCGGTAGATGGCAAACGTACATTCTATACTTGATAACAGAGCTTTCAGACGCGGACGATGTGATGACTGCAATTAACGGTTCAATTTGGCCTTTTGCACTCGATGTATCCGTGAAGAGGGTCAGTACGTGCGATATTAAAAGGTTGAAAAATCCTTCAATCTCTGCCAAATTGAGACCTCATGTCAGCACCACATGACAATACGATAGGCTTCACATTTTCTTGCCTCGTTCCGATCCTTGCCCAAGAGTTTTGGTTTCGGCGATGACCATGGATATAACTTTTTTTTTTCGTTCCGCGTCCTTATTTAGTGGCGTCCGACCGCTGCGGGTAATGAACAACTCTTGGAAAGGTTTTATAGCGGTTGTTCTGCTTTCATCGGAAAGCCCTCGGACAATATAGTTGACAAGATCTTGGACCTATGCCAAAGTAAGGAAGCTATCCCCGTCAGCTTAGTAATCCATATGCACCTGCTCCTCGAAAGTCCCCTCAGCGAAGAGGGCGATAGTGTCTGATTCGGACATTTTTAGTGAATTAGGCGTCGAGAAATGTGAATTGCGGCTCCTGCCGGGTGCATATCCTTCCTAGGAAACCAGCGCTTGATGTCACTGAAGGTACAATTGCAAGAATGCACAGAAGAACAGCAAGACGGTATTTAACAAAGATAAATACTAATCAAAATGGCTATTTGAGCCACTGCTCACTATCTCCTCATTCGCTTTTTGAAACGTTCCATAGCCTTTGCATCGCACAGAATGAGAGTGAGCCAAAGGTATAGGCACAAGCAACGCACCTGTTCATCTGTGGCCACATCCCGTCGGTCATTCTTTGGACGTTTGGTCTCTGGCTCCACGTGAATTCCCTGAGCTTCCAATCTCGCTCGTCGTAGAGCTTCTGCATCAGACTCCTGTGGGTGCTGATTTGGTCGAAAGACTGAACGGCCCATTCCGATGTCAGCGTTCGTAGCGCCAACAGCGATAATGAATGGTTGGACGAACATCGTGTAGATCCAAGATCTGGCTCATTGTGTTGACCTTGATGAAAGCGCGCTCGACGTTGCTCTGCAACATGTCTTTTCGCTTTCTCCGTTTCCTCTATGTTCCTGAGACGAACACTGAGTGGAATCGTCAGAAAGAATGATATAAAATGTCCAATATAGTCACTCACTCCATCCCAAGATCCACTTCGGGAATGGCAGTCAACATTGCTAAACTGTTCGTGACGTTCCCTTCCTCCTCAAGTGTTTTAGGCTTTGCCCGGTATTTTTCATCAAATTTAAAGAGCGCCTCTTGAGGATCGTGGGGTTTTTCATCTTCAAGTTCGTCATCAAGATCCCTACCAGCCCCTCGCTTCTTCATGTTCTCTTCAATGTAAGCCATCCTATTAAGCCTAAGCTACAAAACAAACAATTCAACTTTAACTACTTACATGTGCTTATCCACATCAAGTGCGTTGGTTTGCTGGGTGAAATTGTTCGAGCGTACTATCTTGCGAGCCTTCGATTCTTCGTCATCTGGATCACTGGAATTGATTTCGATGCTTGAACCTGTCTCACAAAGTAAACAACTGACTCATCATCATCTTGATGTGTATCGCCTTTCCGCGGCTGAAGACCGTACGTCGGCTCTTCTTTCGGCTTGCGCCTCTTTTGTGGAGCACCTTGGTTGAGCTTCGTATAATCAATACCCTGCTTCGGCCTCTGGAGTCTACGTATCGCTAGAAGGTCCTGTAAGCTATATACTGGCAAAATTCCTGAGACAGAAGGGCTGAGAGAGCTAAGTTTCCACTCACTCTACTTTCTCCTCTTCGTTGTCATATTGGCTAGCATCCCGAGAGTCCCCGAGAACCTCTGGCTCCTGCGATGCCTCCTTCTTCCTTGGCTTAGTCTTGACAGTGCGCTTCTTGAACATAGTGGGGCTACTGACGGCCAGCGGCCTTGTGGCAGTCCACCAGTTTCCCACGCATAAGTTCGATACAGTGTTGAACTTGCTTGTCACGTAACCACATGGGTTTTGTTGAAACAGCACGCATGAAGGGCGTTGGCCTTCCGTTTGATACTTGCTCATTTTGAATCTCGGCGATTCGATGTACACTCAAGGGATCCATTCTGATGTTCATCGCCCGTGTTCAGTCCCACGCTTCTCTAGCAACACTGCAGGAGAATGCCCTCATCCATTTTCAGCTTTGCGCCGACACCCGGACATGGGCCCTATATATGCGGGTCGCACATGTCGGAAGCGATGCAGGAGGCAGTAATAATATTGATTGGCCGAGCTTGCGAGGCGTTTGTATTAATGTAGATGGCGGCAAGTGCTGGGGCGTGTGCTGGATGAGCCATGACGATGCGCCTATCATGCTCATATCAGTTATTGATATGATGCCCTTTCGTCCATGTTTCACTCTTGCCTACGTGCCAGATGTAGTGCTTATTCGCATCTGATTTCGATCTTTATCACTTTTGTCTGATATCTTGTCATTACCATAGCTACTTATGCCGCTGGCGTGGTTACATCTGGAGAGGTGCCCTTGTCCCACGTGCACTTGCGCTATGCTTCGCCTACGAACTATTAGAATTATGAACTAGCGCCGTATGAGCGCTAAAAAAGTATTTACATTATCAGAACATCTAAGACTAGGTTCCAAAGATAAAGCGGATCTCACCTCAGTTCCAAGTATGCGAACTGAGGAGAGAGGAGAAAAAATGTGCGAAGTGGCAAGTTTTAAGCCATCCTCGACTGCGTCCATCAACATGGACGGAAGCATGGGGCAATCCTGTCCGTGCGCAAGAAGTACATTCCGCAGGACTCAAATTCACTATGTACAAATCAAGAAACTTCAACACGAACAACTCATCAACATATCATGTATATACATACATCACTTAGGTTATGGTGATGCATGCATATAATAATTAAGTAAGTATGTAATGTAGTATGCTCAAAGGAAGAGGGGAAAGAACACCCGCGACAGCTTAATAAAGGTGCGATGGGAGAAAGAAGTGCAGAACGATATTACCAATTTGATGGAAAGATCGACGTGACAGCCATATTCCATAATTGACATGACATGCGGACTCAAGCACATGTTGCCAAAGCGGCAATATCATATCGTTCGTCACTCGAAACGGACAGCATCAAAGCACCGCCTGGCCAAGAGCCTCCAGCAAATGGCAAGGCTATTCCGGTCAGCATATATACCGGGAACATCAATATTAAGGTCTCTCTCTGGTTCATCATATCTTATTCATTTGTACCAATCCCGAACTTCCGGCCATTTGGGACAATGTCTATGCAGCACTGTCGAGCATATCGGAAGCAATTCAGGAAGCGGCAAGTGTTGAAGGACTACCAATGTTACAAATATGGGTCGTGGTACCCTGTGTTTCGTAACAATACGATTGTACTGTCCGGCGTTTCTAGTTTGTCTTCGCACCAGAGACTTCCTCTCTCGCCATGCCATCGTTTCTAGAGTATAACTATCGCATCCACCTCCTACTGGTGCTCGCAAGGTATTTCATCCCACCTCTCCTTATCGCCTCTGCTCTCCTCTCGTTCCTTCCATCACTGCTCTCCGATGGATTCTTCTTACGGAGCCTCTGGCACCTATTGATATGTCTTGCATACTGGATGGTGAACGTCAAGTACGCAGACTGGAAGAATCATAACGAGGCCAGGAAAATGGGTGGGGTGTACCTTCCTAGGCTAAAGGGGAAATGGCCCGGAAACTTGGATATTGCTTTATCGTACGTTGCCTTTCACTCATCTGCTAGGACTTCGTACTGAAAAGATTACTATCCTATAATGTTATACTTGAATTCCCAATATGCATAAAGACTGGCACAACCCTCCGAGGAAGGATATGTTCTGGAGGATTTTGAGCGTATGTTTACATCGCTTGGAAGCGGAGATGAAGTGACAACGTTTAACCTTGGAACGCTTTGGGAGGATACCTATGTAACAAGGGACCATAGGGTCATGCAGACGATGCTAGCTACAAGGTTTGATGACTTTTGGAAAGGTCATGAACTGCGAATGAGGTGGGAATTCCTCTCTGAGCCTTCGCTTCGCCTTTTACGACCAATTTTCTTTGGCTGCCTTGCATATAGGACCAAAGGGTCGTTCGGTGACGGGATCTTCGGAGTGGACGGTGCCAAGGCAAAAGCCCACAGGGCCTTGACACGCCCCTTCTTTGGTTTGTCTCCCTCACCTCGATATATCGTTAATACTCACATTCCACCCCCCTTTTTTTCTCCATATGAAATACAGCTCGTGAACGTGTCCAAAATTTCAATACCTTCGAACGGTACACTGAAAAGGTCCTCGCCCATCTCCTTGCTCGATTCAACAGCTCCCAAGCCATAGACATCCAGGACATTTTTTCCCGATTCACCATGGATGCAGCAGGCGAATTTCTCTTCGGCAGCACAACTTTCAACACACTTGACCTTCCCCTTCCTCCCCCCAACAAAAAATCCAAACTGGGTCCCAAAGGAACCGAGCTTGAGGGTTCCTATGGTTCTTTCATTTACGCGTTCGAGAAGTTGCAGGAAATCGTGATTATTCGAAGTCTGAGAGGGAGTGCGAAGGTTTGGGGGTTGATGGAATTCTGGAAAGATGAGACGAAGATCCATAGCTTAGCTGTTGATGCGTTTATCAATCCTCTTATCATGGAGGCTTTGAAGGAAAAAAGGAAGAGAGGGACGGAGCAGTGTGATCCTGATGAAGGAAATTTGGTGGATCATTTGGTGGATATGACGAATGACTTGAAGTTGGTCAGGGATGAGGTAAAACACACCTACATCCTCGTTTCCATGACAGACCCTGATTCGTTTTATACAATAGCTGTTCAACATCTTTGCGGCAGCCAGGGATACAACTGCTACGCTGCTAACATTCACCACATACCTGCTTTGCTTACATCCGGATGTAATGGCGACATTGCGAAAGGAGGTACTGACGTATGTTCCCAATGGGCCCCCGACTTTCGATGACGTCCGAAAGATGAGATATTGTGAGTGATTCTTCCATCTCCCCCTTCTGGTTCAATTCCTTGAATCAAACAGTGCGCGCTGTTCTCAATGAAACACTCCGCCTCTTCCCGCCTGCCCCACTAAACCTTCGCTCATCGAGATTATCGACACTCCTTCCTCCTGACCAGACCACCAATGAGAAACCCATCTACATCCCTGGCGGCACGACAGTCTTGTACTTTCCACTTCTCATGCAGCGTCGGAAAGATTTATGGGGCCCTGATGCGGACGAATTCGATCCTGAAAGGTGGATTGACAAGGAGAGGGTGAAGAAGATGACTGATGATCCATTTATGTTCATACCTTTTAACGCTGGGCCAAGGATTTGTCTGGGTCAGGTGGGTGCGGTTGTGCCGATAACAGTGCTACATTTGGGATCCGAATGGATGGTTGTTTATCGCTGCTTCTTCCCTTACAGAACTTCGCGTATAACCAAGCAAGCTTTAGTATGCCGTTCCATACACCCTGACCTTCTGCCTGATTTTCTCATGAACTTCATCCTCTTGCCGATAGTAATGATTCGAATACTCCAAACATTTGACACATTCACCCTCCGCCAACAAGAAGATGCGCCTGACGGTTCATGCCCGCCCGCATCATGGAGAGGCGCACCAGGTAGGAAGGGAATCGAAGCAATATGGCCGAAAATGGCTGTTAGTTTGTTCATTAAAGTGCGTCAGTTCTTTGTGAAGTTGAACTCGCCTTCTGATTGGGCGTAACAGGGAGGATGCTGGGTCCATATGAGTATTGCGGATAGCTAGATTGAAGCTTTTTCAGTTGCCTGATTTCCAAGGCAGCCAAACTGCAAGATTGAATTTTCAATGAGAGAATTGCGTGTATAGAAGGGAGGCTCGCCGGTCTCACTGGCCCAGCACTGTTTGTCAAGATCGGTAACTGTACCCTCAACACAAATGAGTATTCGACGGACAGTAGTTCAATGTCGCTTGTCCATGCATGTCCACTTCACGGCTGAGCCTCAGAGTTGTGCGATCCCGACATATATTCACAATTGACTAGCGTAAATATTTGCAGCCTTGGTTGCACTTCCCCAAGTTTCTATGTGTTGGATTGGGTACGGTACAACGACTACATGGGTTTATCAAAACTCCAAATACACCTGTCTCGCGAAAGCTGCTGGGGTTCCACTAAAACTTTTCAGTAAACAAAAAACATTATGCGGTCAATAACTGGTGGACACCGCCTGACGCGGCAGGTCCCGCCACTCTTCTGTCCTCCTACCGCAGCGAACGAGACACAATAGAGCACAACGCAAAAAGATCAGCACGTCAGATGAACCAATGATATTCAATTTCCATGACCCACACTGAATTGTTGAGGTCATTGGCCCTTCCAATCTCGGACGTCTCAATGCGCGACCAAAATTGGGTGAACAACAATAATATTTGAATGGGCATACAGAGGAGAGCAAAAAGGTAAGTACATTATGAAGATATCTGTCATAATCTGGAAATCGGATGCAAAGATGGACGCACACGGAGGCCCGATGGGAATTTGGTAACAGTCGCCAAACAGAATATGCGCAAGTAGGTGATCACGAATATGCGGCACAGTACAAACAGTGGAGGAACTGGAAGGTAGCGGTGGTCCGGAGAGCATGAAAGAAGCAGCACAGTGGGACGATAGTACAAAGAGCGGCAGAGTAAACGGTACGAGAGTGGTGCGGTATAAGAGAAATTGGTTAGTGAGTTGGGAGGACCCTGGGTTATCAATAATAGAGGACCTTGTCATCAAACGCATTCAATCAGGGTCGAAAAATTTACAAGACCCGCTACAGAGTAGCGGGAATGGGGCAATGTTGTTCTAGTAAACCTAACTACACCACCCGGTGAGTGAAGCGGGAGGTCATGTGCCAGAAAAAAAAATGGGTAGCAATTCATTTCGAAACCAGCCAACGGTCACTATTACAAATCAAGTATTGCACCGCCATCCAACCCAAAAAATAGACACATACCCACCACCCAAACCCCCGACTAAACTCTCAACCCCCGACCCGACACCCAACCCCCCTTTACATTAAAAATAGACACATACCCAATACACAACCACCAACCCCAAATCCCCAACCCCCAACCCAAACCCCCAACCCCCGACCCAAAAACCCAACCCCTAACCACAACCCCCTGACCCAAACCCCCAACCCGACAACCCGGAAAAAAAAAAAAGTCAGACCCACCCATGAATCGAACCGGAGCCTAACAACTAAACAACATAAACCCACGCCGGCATTAGCCATCAGGCTAATGCATCAATGACAAAGTCACCGCACTTGATTTGTAGATAGCACTTTAATATTCCAAATATAGAAATCTGGAATCAGATTGCAGAATTAATTTTCTAAATTAATCCTATTTTTTTTTCACTCACATGACCTCCCGCTTCACTGACCGGGTGGTGTAGTTAGGTTTACTATGTAGTTGTTCTGTCCGATTGCGGCTTGCATCTAGGATGCAAACTGGTCACGAGTTTGAAAAGAGTCATCACGGGCTCTGCGGCGTAGGGTGTCCTGCGCCGCAACCGACTTCTTACAGACATCCATGGACATCCGAGTCGCAAGTGCCTATTGCGCCTGGCGGGTGGCTTTCTTTCATGGACAACATCAATTAATTATTTAATAGCAATAAATCCAGTAATGACCCGACGCCTGGAGACCGGGCACTCAAACGAGTACCCTATCTTGCCACACTTGTAGCATAGAGGGTTTCTCGATGGAGGGGATCTTCATAATCCATCTCCAGAACCAGCCGTCCACGGCACCGCTAGCCAGAGTGATCACGTCCTCGCCGGCTTTCGAGATTATTGCGTAATTTCTCATTCAGCACATCGCGTTCAGCATCACTCATCATTGTCTCAAGATCTTGGGTTGCTTGTTGTAAATGTTTAGCTGCCGAGGGATTTCCGCAATGCAGGTGATGTTCATCACGGACTCGGGTACTGACATCATCGCGGCATGCTGGATGGACTGTAACTCTAGGTTACAAAACTCGCAAACTTTCATTCCTTGACCTAAATTAGGAATCAGTATACAATTACACGCAATACGACACTCACAAGTTGAATGTTGTTCCCTGCACCGAGGATGTGCACCGTTGTGATCCATCAGTGCATAGCATGGAATATATGGACGATGCGTTCCTCTGGGGAGTCAGTGGTTCTTGGATACTCAACAACTGCTCCAAGCGGCCAATTAACAGTATAATCGGTGAATAATTTCCGTGTGACTCTGGTTACTTTATGGAGAGATGACTGATGGCTAAAACTGTCAAAGGGAAGGGGGGGATGCGGCAGATGTTGTGTAGGCAGGGTCGGAATGTCGATAATTTCAGTTGTGAGCCCTTTCTCCTCTTCATCAAGAAGCTGGGAGAGTTTTCGGGAAAGAGCTATCGGGATGAGGAGGTCACCATCATGGCTTATTTTAACATGAGGAAATGTCCCAAGACGGTCCCAAATGGTGCGAGCCGAAACGAGTCCCTCTGCACTGTTGTCCTTCAGGGCCATGAGATGCCGAGCTGAAGGAAGTCCTCTTACATGTCCTTGCTCATTCTCTTCAAGAGAGATCGGTGATGAGAGGCAAGGGGCTCAATTCAACCAGGAAACATGATTGTACTTACTGCATTACGTGCTTCCCTAGGCAGATTAGCAGCCTCTATTAGTATAGAGTGCTTCCCATACTTTGGAGGAACATACATAATAGCGGTGGGCTGATGATACATGGAGGTCAGTGGTTCCGCGTCAGAAATACCTGCATGATGAAGGGAGGGCGGAGTAGCGGCTTCGTGGCTATACTAAAGCCAGCTGGTTTTGAAACCACGTGAGTGCGGGAATTATGTACAGAAGTCCCCTTTTGGATTTTAATTACCTAAGAATTTGTACCTTATTTAATGCAATTTGAAATTTAGCTCCTATTCAGTTGGTCGAGTCCATCATGCCCTTAATTCATTTGCACCAGACTTTCGTAGGCAGGATCCCAACCTCTACTAAAGTAGAGACTTTCGACCATCTGGACAACGTCCGTGCAGCACTGCCGGAGGCAAATGTTGGGGGTTTGAGGGACTGATCACCCTATCTTTCATAATACCAATATGATTATCCTATTTGGCGTTTCTAGTCTTCGCACCAGTGTTGGTAAGAGACTTCTGTACATTCAGTCAGCACTATATATTCTGCGCCTTTTCTGCTGTGCGTGCAGTCTCAGAGGCATAGTTCCAGCCTCGCCTCGCTGATGCCATCGATTCTAAACTATAACTATCGCATCCACCTCCTACTGGAGCTCGCAAGGGATTTCATCCCTCCTCTCCTTATCGCCTCTGTTCTGCCCTCGTTCCTTCCGTCTCTGCTCTCCGATGGGTTCTTCTTACGAAGTCTCTGGCGCCTCTTGATATGTCTTGCATATTGGACGGTGAACGTCAAATACGCAGACTGGAAGAATCATAACGAGGCAAAGAAAATGGGTGGGGTGTACCTTCCTAGGCTGAAGGGAAAATGGCCCGGGAATTTGGATATTGCTTTATCGTATGTTGCTTTTTACTCATCTGCCATGCCAGAAATATTACTATCATATGTGAATTCCCGACATGCATAAAGACAGGCACAACTCTCCGAGGAAGGATATGTTCTGGAGAATTTTGAGCGTATGTTTACGTCGCTTGGAACCGGAGATGAAGTGACAACGTTCAACCTTGGAACGCTTTGGGAGGATATCTATGTAACAAGGGACCATAGGGTCATGCAGACGATGCTAGCTACAAGGTCCGATGACTTTTGGAAAGGACCTGACCTGCGAATCAAGTGAGCTGGTTTCAATCCCCTCCAAGCCTTCGCTTCCTCCTGCTTGCCTTTGGCTAATTAATTTTTGCCTTTCTTTGGCGGTCTTCCATATAGGACCCAAGGGTCATTCGGTGACGGGATCTTCGTAGTGGACGGTGCCGAGGCAAAGGCCCACAGAGCCTTGACACGCCCCTTCTTTGGTTTGTCATCCTCACCTCGATATGCCGTTAATAATTACATTCCGCCCTCTGTATGAAATACAGCCCGTGAACGTGTCCAAGACTTCAACATTTTCGGACGGTACACTGAGAAGGTTCTCGCCCATCTCCTTACTCGATTCAACAGCTCCCAAGCCATAGACATCCAGGACATTTTTTCTCGATTCACCATGGATGCAGCAGGCGAATTTCTCTTCGGCAGTACAACTTTCAACACACTTGACCTTCCCCTTCCTCCCCCCAACAAAAAATCCAAACTGGGTCCAAAAGGAACTGAGCCTGAGGGTTCCTATGGTTCTTTCGCTTACCCCTTTGAGAAGTTGCAGGAAGTCACGCTTATTCGAAACCTGAGAGGGCCTTTGAAGGTTTGGGGGTTGATGGAATTCTGGAAAGATGAGACGAAGATCCATAGGTTAGCTGTTGATGCATTTATTGATCCTCTTATCGAGGATGCTTTGAAGGAAAAAAGGAAGAGGGGGATGAAGCAGCGTGATCCTGATGAAGGAAATCTAGTAGATCATTTGGTGGATATGACGAATGACTTGAAGTTGATTAGGGATGAGGTAAAACACACCTACATCCTCATTTTCATGACAAACCCTGATTCATTTTGTACGATAGCTGATCAACATCCTTACGGCAGCTCGGGATACAACTGCTGCGCTGCTAACATTCACCACATACCTGCTTTGTTTACATCCAGATGTAATGGCGACATTGCGAAAAGAAGTACTGACATATGTCCCTAATGGGCCCCCGACTTTCGATGACGTCCGAAAGATGAGATATCGTAAGTGAATTTTTCCACCTTCCCCCTTTTGATTCAATCTTTGAATCAAACAGTGCGTGCTGTTCTCAACGAAACACTCCGTCTCTTCCCTCCCGCCCCACTAAACATTCGCTCATCGAGATTATCGACACTCCTTCCTCCTGACCAAACCACCAATGGAAAACCCATCTACATTCCTGGTGGTACGACAGTCTTGTTCACGCCACTACTCATGCAGCGTCGGAAAGATTTATGGGGCTCTGATGCGGACGAATTCGATCCTGAAAGGTGGATTGACAAGGAGAGGGTGAAGAAGATGACTGATGATCCATCTATGTTCATACCTTTTGGCGCTGGGCCAAGGATTTGTCTGGGTCGGGTGGGTACAGTTGTGCCGATAACAATGTTACATTTGGAATCCGAATGGGTGGTTGTTTATTGCTGCTCTTTCCCTTACAGAACTTCGCGTACAACCAAGCAAGTTTTAGTATGCCGTTTCGTACACCTTGGCCTTCTGCCTGATTTTCTCATGGACTTCATCCTCTTTCCGATAGTAATGATTCGAATACTCCAAACATTTGACACATTCACCCTCCGTCAACAAGAAGATGCGCCTGATGGTTCATGCCCGCCCGCATCATGGAGAGGCGCACCAGGTAGAAAGGGGATAGAGACGATATGGCCGAAAATGTGTATTAGTTTGTTCATCAAAGTGCGTCGGTTCTTTGTGAAGTTGAACGCAACCTCTGATTGATTGTAACAGGGAGGATGCTGGGTCCATATGAGTATCGCGGATAGCTAGATTTGAGCTCTTTCAGCTGCCTGATTTTCCAGCAGAATGAACGAATTGTTGATATGGCATTCCGATGCCCTTTGTGCCGATGGTTGGCTAGTCAACAATACGTTTCCACCATTGAGACAAAGCTAAGGTTTTCATTGTTGCTAGCGCTTTTGTCCCTCAGAGATCTATATAAGTGCATTGTGTGAGCTGAGAGTACGATATCTAATGACACTGATGTCGTGCTCAGTGTGTCCGGCTGCAATGCCGCTATTATAACACGAATTTTCAAGGGAGGCTAGTCGGCCCGATTGGGCCTGCGTAAGACCGGTAATTGTACCCTCAACACAAATGAGTATTTAACGGACAGTGATTCAATGTTACTTGTCCATGCATGTCCGCTTCATAGCTGAGCTCCAGTGCTGTGATGGATCGCCGATCCTACCCACACGACCAATTACCGGTCACGCATCACACGCACCTTCCGGTCCGGCTGTAAGTGGGACGTTCCGGTTGAATGATCCTTGTCGGCTGTGTGAAATCGAATTAAATTCAATGAAAACAAAAGCCGTCTGCAAGGAAGTAGTTTTTTTTGGTGTAAAATGTATCAAAACGAAAATTTGCCAGTTGGACATTTCCAGCGCCACTGTGGCTGGTGTCACACCAACCTTGCCACCTCTTCCGGTTGCTTGTCACAGGTCACAAGGAGAAGCCGGTTGACTATTTTGTGTCACGCTCGGAACCTCAGTTGTGTGGATTCACAGCTGACTAGCGTAAATCACTTCCTACCATTACCCTTGCCCTCAACCATGCCCACCGTACGGAATACAAACAGTGATGCCAGGATCAACACCTACAACTCACGACTCCGACCCGCCTAAGCGAATGGCTGCGGATTAATTTCTGCATTATCTAAGTACCAATTAATTCTCGTCATTTAATTAGATCAGACAATCAATCATCTAGGGTAAAAGAATGATTACCTGTGGGCACTGTGCGAGAGAACGTGTGAAGAACGTGAAAGGGGAAAGATGAACACGCATTACAAATGCCAACACAGCCGTTTTCGGCTTAGTTGTCACGTGGTTTTTTTGGGTTCCGCCCTTGCTCGTTGCCCGAAAACAGGCACCATATCTCAGCAACCACATAAGCTAGTCACTTGCGGTTTGCTGAAAAAGGTTTGTATATTTATTATGCCTGGAATTTTCTTAGCGATAACGATAATTTCCATTTTTCATGATTTTAGGTTTTACCCCTTTTACACGATTTTCTCGACAATGGCTGGATAGAATGGGCCGTAAATTGGGCAGAAATAAGTCTCAATGTGCCCCTCGGGACTTTTTTGTTTTCAAGTTAATTGGTTGCATTTTTGTTTTTTTATCATTTGCACATTCCCCGCGGTTATACATGCTCATGCCAGCGGAAAAAGCAACCGATTAACTTGAAAAAAAGGTATCCTGAGATATATAACTCAAGTGCGTTCAACATAAGTTTCATCGTATTCCACGCAGTGGTTATTGAGAAAACTCTGTACAACGGATTTCCATTACCAAAGAAAACGTTTGAGTGATAAAAACCTCAAAATGCAACATATTTACTAAAGAAAAAAAAAGGTCCCAAGGGGCACATTGAGACTTATTTCTGCCCAATTTACGGCCCATTCTATCCAGCCATTGTTGAGAAGATCGTGTAAAAGGGGTAAAACCTAAAATCATGAAAAATAAAAATTATCGTTATCGCTAAGAAAGTTCCGGGCGTAATAAATATACAAACGTTTTTCAGCAAACCGCAAGTGATTAGCTTATGTAGTTGCTGAGATATGGTGCACTCTTTGTTGAGCCTTGTCTTCGGGCAACGAGCAACAAACCGGATCACGTGACAACCAAGCCAAAAACGGCTGTAACGCTACTGTGCGTGTGACTCGGGGGCTCCACATTACCGCCGGCCCGGTCTGCGCAAGCGCCCTTAATTCATCTGGCCGTTTGGCCGTCTACCCAATCGCTGGTAGACAAGACAATCGGACTTTCAACCATTCGAGGCAGCGTCTGTCAGAATGATGATTGAAGCAGTTTATTTTTCGTGCCCGCATGACTGTCCTGTCCGTTTCTGGACGCCCTTTGCACCCATGGCAGTCAGAGGCCTTCTGTACATTTAATCAGCATATATATATCGTGATCCCTCTAGGGCATAGTTCCGTCTCCCCAATGTCATCCAGTCTAAAGTATAACTACCGCGTCCAACTCATACTAGAGCTCGCAAAGGATTTCATCCCACCTCTCCTCATCGCCTCTCTTCTCCTCTCGTTCCTTCCATCTCTGCTCACGGACGGGTTGTTCTTACAAAGCCTCTGGCGCCTCTCGATATGTATTGCATATTGGACGGTGAACGTCAAGTATACAGACTGGAAGAATGGTAACGAGGCGAAGAAAACGGGTGGGGTGTATCTTCCTAGGCTGAAGGGGAAGTGGCCTGGAAACTTGGATATCGCTTTATCGTACGTTGCTACCCACTTATCTGCCAACACTTTTATTCTCATATTCGAAATTTCAATATGCAATAAAGATTGGCAAAATTCTCCGAGGAAGGATATGTTCTGGAAAGCTTTGAGCGCCTGTTTGCGTCGCCTGGAGGTGGGGATGAAGTGACGACGTTTAACCTTGGAACGCTCTGGAGAGATACCTATGTAACAAGGGATCATAGGGTTATGCAGGCAGTTCTAGCTACGGAATTCGATAACTTCTGGAAGGGACCTGAGTTCCGAATGAGGTGAGCCAGTTTCATTCACCCTGCCAGTCCGAGAAAGTTCCTTTCGCCTTCCGCTAACTACTTACGACCAATATTTATCTGCCTTATAGGACCAGACGGTCGTTCGGTGATGGGATCGGGGGGGCTGACGGTGCGAGGCGAAAGCCCACAGAGCCATGACGCGCCCCTTTTTCGGTTTGTCCTCCGCATCTCATTATACACAATAGTATTAATCACATTCCACCCCTTTCGACTGTCTACATGAATCGCAGCCCGAGAACGTGTCCAGGATTTTGGCATCTTCGAACGATACACTGATAAAGTCCTCACCCATCTCCTCGCTCGTCCAACAGCTCCAAGCCATTGACATCCAGGATATCTTTTCCCGATTTACCATGGATGCGGCAGGCGAATTTTTCTTTGGCAGCACAACTTTCAACACACTTGACCTTCCCCTTCCTCCCCCCAACAAAAAATCCAAACTGGGTCCAAAAGGAACTGAGCCTGAGGGTTCATATGGTTCTTTCGCTTACCCCTTTGAGAAGTTGCAGGAAATCACGCTTATTCGAAACCTGAGAGGGCCTTTGAAGGTTTGGGGGTTGATGGAATTCTGGAAAGATGAGACGAAGATCCATAGGTTAGCTGTTGATGCATTTATTGATCCTCTTATCGAGGATGCTTTGAAGGAAAAAAGGAAGAGGGGGATGAAGCAGCGTGATCCTGATGAAGGAAATCTAGTAGATCATTTGGTGGATATGACGAATGACTTGAAGTTGATTAGGGATGAGGTAAAACACACCTACATCCTCATTTTCATGACAAACCCTGATTCATTTTGTACAATAGCTGATCAACATCCTTACGGCAGCCAGGGATACAACTGCTACGCTGCTAACATTTACCACATACCTGCTTTGCTTACATCCGGATGTAATGGCGACATTGCGAAAAGAAGTACTGACATATGTCCCCAATGGGCCCCCAACTTTCGATGACGTCCGAAAGATGAGATATCGTGAGTGAATTTTTCCACCTTCCCCCCTTTTGATTCAATCTTTGAATCAAACAGTGCGTGCTGTTCTCAACGAAACACTCCGTCTCTTCCCTCCCGCCCCACTAAACCTTCGCTCATCGAGATTATCGACACTCCTTCCTCCTGACCAAACCACCAATGGAAAACCCATCTACATTCCTGGTGGTACGACAGTCTTGTTCACGCCACTACTCATGCAGCGTCGGAAAGATTTATGGGGCTCTGATGCGGACGAATTCGATCCTGAAAGGTGGATTGACAAGGAGAGGGTGAAGAAGATGACTGATGATCCATTTATGTTCCTACCTTTTGGCGCTGGGCCAAGGATTTGTCTGGGTCGGGTGGGTGCGGTTGTGCCGATAACAATGTTACATTTGGAATCCGAATGGGTGGTTGCTTATTGCTGCTCCTTCCCTTACAGAACTTCGCGTACAACCAAGCAAGTTTTAGTATGCCGTTCCGTACACCCTGGCCTTCTGCCCTGATTTTCTCATGGACCTCGTCCTCTTTCCGATAGTAATGATTCGAATACTCCAAGCATTTGACACATTCACCCTCCGCCAACAAGAAGATGCGCCTGACGGTTCATGCCCGCCCGCATCATGGAGAGGCGCACCAGGTAGGAAGGGGATCGAGACGATATGGCCGAAAATGTGCATTAGTTTGTTCATCAAAGTGCGTCGGTTCTTTGTGAAGTTGAACGCACCTCCTGTTGATTGTAACAGGGAGGATGCTGGGTCCATATGAGTATTGCGGATAGCTAGATTCAAGCTCTTTCAGCTGCCTGATTTCCAGCAGAGTGAACGAATTTTCAACGAGAATTGCTTGTACAGAAGGGGGCTCGGTCCTATTGGGTTCGCGTAAGATCGGTAATTGTACCCTCAACACAAATGAGTATTCAACGGACAGTTACTTGTCCATGCTCCAGTGCTGTGATGGATCGCCGATCCTCACAGCTGACTAGCGTAAATCATTACCCTTGCCTTCCGCTCAACCCAACCCGGCCACTGGTGAAGCCTGGCAACCATGCCCCACCGTACGGAATCAAACAACGACGCCAGGATTACACATACAATTCAACTCACGACTCCGACCCACCTAAGTGAATGGCTGCGGATTAATTATCTAGTACCATAAGTACCAATTACTTAATTCTCGTCATCTAATTAGATCAGACAATCGGACTCTATCTAGGGTAATG